TGCCTAGTGTTTCATTCGATCCTCGATGTTTTACAGAAACCTCTTTTTGAGCAAACTTTAACTCATCCTATGACATTATTTTATCATATTTGGTTAAAAACAGTATCCAAACGAATATGAAGAGAAGAGGTGAGAAACGCGTAGGAGCCGGGCGGGAGAAATCGCCTTCGTTTACCAAAAAAGCAAAACAGATGAATCAATAATATTGGCAAGCAAATAATCGCATGTATATTTGGAAAATCGATGGAAAAGGTTACATATGTTTGGAAAATAAAGCTTTCACAACCTTGAACCTTCGACAGAGAATCAAGCAGACTCCGTGTCATTTCTCACCTCTGCTGATGATCGAATTCAGACGTATTCGTCGATGTTTGGCTTTCCCTAGACAAATCCATCGGTGAATTCTCAATGGCATATAAAAAATGAGTGCTCTGATATGGCATAGGGTCTATAATCACGATTTCGGCTTGTAACAAGTTCAACTCTAAAAGTAACCTGTGTGGCAGGCGTTCGAAAGGGAAGGGGAAGGGAATTAGGGCGCGAGACCGCGCGCGAGGAAGGAGGGAGGAGGGAGGAGGGGAACGCCTGCAAGAAAGCGATTGTTTTCGCCATCCCCCCTACTAATTAAACTAGTAATAGTTGACACTACAGCTGCCCCCGCTCTCTATATTGTCGGTCAATAGTATTCTTGCTCGTTGTGTAGCTCTTTGAAATATACCGATTCATAATGAATATTTTCACACATATTCCATACAATAATAGGTGAGATAAATACAGGAAACGCAAGGTTGCAAGCACAGTTTCCGTTCGATTTACACAGCTTTGATCAAACCATTCTCAGTTTCGAGAATAGTTTATTCTAAACCATAAGAAAAGACTTAATTAGAAGTTGAATTTTTCACTATTTCTCTTTCACTTTTTACATTCAGTTCATTTTATTTGCCGGAAAGTAAACCTTAGAAATTAAAAGGACGTTTGATCAATTCAAGCTCGCGCATTCTAGTCTTATTTTAAACTTTATAGCGGAAGGGCATATGTGAGCAGGGAATAAGTCAGCACAGAATTTGATTGTCGGCGAATTTCTGTAATCGGCCTTCGTTCTGCTAGTGACAAGCTAGCCGTTGATTCACTCTTCTTGCTTGTTTGGGGTTGAGTCTTATTCCGGTTAAAGAGAGAGGAAGAGTGTCTTCCAAGGTTTCCAATCAAAGATTTGTGAACTCGTGTCTGGCAAACTCTCCAAGTGTTTATATATACACAGTTATACGCACCTTATAACTTCATCTGGGCTTAACGAGTGTCTTTTGAAAACAACTGCTCCACAGAATGTCACTGATAACACGCAACGCAAAAGAGTATCCAAGTATGACTGCACAATAAAGGTCACAAAATCTACCTAAGCGGTCCCTTCGGGATTTTCTGTCTTTACGTCATCCTAAACATTTCGTACTTGCGGGCGCAAACAATGGAAACGTCATCATTACCTACCGATCCCTCGCGGCCCCTGATCAAGCAAATCGAGATTTTTTCTGGCATCATAGTCTCCCGGTTTACTGACTGTGTATTTCAACTGTAAGTACTTTCCTTAATATACGCGCGAGTTACGAGAGTGCCTCATTGGGATTTCGCCTTCTGGGCGAAATACCTGCGGGGGCAAAAAATAACAAATATAAGGCCAGGCCACTGTGAATGACTAGCCCTCAAATAAGTCTGGCCGCGATGCATCTATTCTAGTCATATTTCTCGCAATGTTTTTGTTTTGTTTTCCTAAAACAAGAAATCTAAAGTGAAGGTACTACAAAAAAAAGTTCAAATAGCTTCAAATGCGGTCGTCCATTGAAGGAATCTTCCTTGAAAGTTGCAACGACGCGTGCCGAGTTACATAAACTCCAGCATAAATCTATTCAAGTTGTTGCTGAAGGAATCGGGCTGGAAAACTATTTGATAAGAAATGTAGCAGCCCTTCGCAACTTTAAATGCAATGTTTGTCAGAGGAAAATTAAAACATTTTGCCGTCACTCTTTGAATTTCTATCAGGACGACTTGGATCCAGCGGAGCACACAAAAGAACGCTGGTAGCGGGGAAGGAAGAGATCAGCTTCGAAAATCTACAAGAAGGCAGCAATTCATTATTAAACTAAGTTCCGGGCGGTTTTATAACCAGCAAGAAGAAGTCCTCAACCAAAAATCGCTGAGGGTTATAGATCGTTTCGTCTTCAACAACCTTGCCGTTGATAACGCTGGTCAAAAAGCAGATAACAAGCACAAAGGCAGAACAGGAGCCCATCAGATGGGCTCTTGAGGCAGAGTGATTTTTCCTTTCTTTCTGTTAGTGAGTAAAGCCGACAAGCTAATGGGAGATGATACTTTTCAAAACCAGTCAGTAAAACTCATCTGCTGACAGGCCTTTTCCTTCATACGGTTCTTTAACTGCTTTTTTCTATTATCCTTTCAAGCTGAAATTTTTTATGCCTTCTAACGATGAATTCCCGTAGACAAGTCTCATGACGCTTCACTAACAACATATTTTTAGTTACTTTGAATGGCGTGTTGTTTTCGACCAATCGGAAAAAGGAATTGGGTCGAAGATTGACATTTAATTAATTCTGACCAATCACTATTTTCACGCTCAGAATCTGAGCGTAAAAAAATGGAGAAAACAATGGTCTCTTTATAGGCGTTCCTTTCCTTTCTCCCGTCGCGCGTTCGTTCCCCCTACATACATACATACATAGCCTTTATTAACGTGCCTAATCGTTCTAGTGCCTATTGGCCCTAATTGGGGAGACCTTTAAAACTAAATTACCTCATTAAATGACACTAATTAAAAACTGTGAAAAACAACGCACACATCGAAAGACAACATCGCGGTTTTGTGTCCTCGTTGCCTGGTTTACGTTGGAGTTTCTCTAAACGTAATGCGAAGTCTTTAATTCTTATTCGATTCCTCTAACAATGGTGTTTTAGCGTCTCCATAGACCAAAATGTAGAGTTACTGTAATTAATTATAATGATTTGTATAAAAACTCTTGGAACTGAGTACCAGAGGTTTTTTTCTTGAATTCATTCCTTTACCGCGCCATTTCCAGTGTTTAATAGACTGTTAAAAATTACCGTCTCATGTTATTGAATACTTGAAGTGATGCTCTTAAAACTACCGGTCGTCAGCTGCCAGCACGGATTTCAAATTCCCAGAGTCTCAATACTTTTCTCAAATCTTCAGCACAAAACATACCCCACATTTCAGTATTCAAGTCTTAGACAAGTGTCCTCTAGTTTGGTTGTCTTCTCCATTTTTGCAAGACACTTTTTTTTGTTGAGTTATTTGTTTTGAATTTGTTGTTTGCATTATAGTTTAGATTTCGAACGACCTTTCGTCGAAAAAGCTATTCTTGGCTATAAGCCATTTCCCTTTGTGTTTTCAAATTTTGCGATTGCCTCGTCTAACTAGCAAATTCTATTTTGCACTGCAAGTATAACCTCTATTTGCACCTCATAAGATATTTGTTTAGGCCTTCCTCAAACACTGTAATCCAATCAGAAATTGCATATACCATTGAGGTATTACACGTACTACTAGTAATAGTCAACACTACATCTGCCCTCGCTCTGTAAATTGCTGGTCAATAGTATTCTTGCTCGTTGAGTAGCTCTTTGAAATATACCGATTCATAATGAAGATTTTCACACATATTCCATACAATAGGTGAGATAAAAACAGGAAACGCAAGGTTCCATGCACTGTTTCAGTTGCTGATCTATTTACACAGCTTTGATCAAAACATTCTCTGTTCCGAGAATAGTTTATTCTAAACCATAAGAAAAGATTTAATTAGAAGTTGAATTTTTTGCTATTTCTCTTTCACTTTTTACATACAGTTCATTTTATTTGCCGGAATAAGCCTTAGGAATTAAAAGGACGTTTGATCAATTCACGCTCGCGCATTCTAGTCTTATTCTAAACTTTATAGCAAAAGGACATCTGTGAGCAGGGAATAAAGCAGCGCAGAATTTGATCGTTGGCGAATTTCTGTAATCGTCCATCGTTCTGCTAGTGATGAGCTAGCCGTTGATTCACTCGTCTTGCTTGTTGGGGGCTGAATCTTATTCTTGTCAAAGAGAGAGAAAGAGTGTATGAAAAGGTTTCCAATCAAAGATTTGTGAACCGGCGTCTGGAAAGTGTTTATAATGTATGTACACAGTTATACGCACGTTATACCTTCATCTGCGCTTAACGAGTGTCGTTTGGGCCATAACTTTCAAAACAACTGCTCTACAGAATGTCACTCATAACACGTAACGCAAGAGATCGAAGTATGATTGTACAATAAATGTCACAGAATCTACCTAAGCGGTCCCTTCGGGATTTTCTGCCTTGACGTCATGCCAACCATTTCGTACTTGCGGGCGCAAACAATAGAAACGCCATCATTACCTACCGATTCCTCTCACCCCCTTTTCAAGCAAATCGAGATTTTTCCTGGCATACTGACTGTATATTTCAGCTGTAAGTACCTTCCCAAATATACGCGCGAGTTACTAGAGTGCCCCCTCGGGATTTCGCCTTCTGGGCGAAATCCCTGCGGGGGCCATAATACGTATTATAATCATATTACTCTACAACTTTAGTGATCCATTATTCAAGTGAAGGGATCCATCATTTCTTTCAGTGTTGGAACGCCTGCACCCTTTTTTTACGACAACAATATTAATGGTGGGTTCGATTTCAGCAGTTTGAGAAATCCCATTTGCGCACAAAGCGACTGGTAGCTGTCAGCAATTTTGTTCAAGCTTTTTCCTGTAGATCATACTTTCACTCGATCACTGTCGTTAACATATAATGACAGCCCTCATATCATACAGTGTTACAGTGTTCCTTCTTGCAGTGTAATACGAGACTGTTTATCTCACATTGTTTCTATATCAAAATTGAATTCCTGTATTCTCGTGATAGTTTTTACATATACGAGTGTATAATCACTCTACATAGTCATTAACACGCGGTGCGGTTATCAATAATAGGTATCGCTGGAGCTTTCCAAGTGGATACTAATGGCATTTACAAGTCTTCATTTTACGAAGTGAAAGAGCACGATGATTCTGGTATCTTCCTAACCAAGTATAATGTCATCACTGCTAATGACACTTACGTCCACCTTCATCGCACCTGGACAAACAACGACTACCATCATTTTGCGGACGGGAGTACTGTTAAAGGGGAACACAAGGTTAAGTCTCAGCACAGTGCTCACGTTCATTTAAACGATGGAAAAATTGAACAAGTCCAACGTTCTATGAAAGCCCTATTTAGGTCTTCCAGTGGTCATCCAAGAGCAGAAAACCACAAAGCCTTTGAAAATCAGGATATCGAAATATCAGCGACAGGATACAGCAAAATGAAATTACGACGTTGCTCCGATGCAGTCCACCGTCGCTCCAAGCGCTCTACTCCGGTAAATGAGCATTTAGATGTGGTAAAATCGCTTATTAAGGACACCATTTTGTTTACCGACGCTGATAAAATAGACTGGTCAGAGATAGGTGGCGAACAGAGGAAAGTGAGACCTATGGCGGAAGTTTTGCGCTGTCTCAACAAAAAAGATATCAAAGAACGGGAAATTGCACATTGTTCAAGTGAGTTGCATCACATGGTTCTCAACGATGAAGATGTATTTAAATCAATCAAGCACATGGTTCGAAATCGAGACCACCAGAACCTGACAGCTTGGAGCATCTACGTTTCCGCTGTGGCGGCACATGGCAAGTATGAAGCCCAAAACGTTCTGGCTCATGCGGTTAAGACACGCACCCCTAGACCACTAAATGAAAAAGAATTTGAAACACTCCTAGTAGCAATCCATTACTTGCCAAATGGACCATTACACACAACTCTGTTTGACGCTCTTTTGGCGCTGGCCTTTGAAGATAAACAAGAGGACCAATCTACTGCAACCGCAATGCTAGTTTTAGCAGGGCTAACAGAAAGAGCAAAAAGAGCAGGTTACAATGAGACCTTGAGTGAGAGTGTTGCGGAGATGATTCATAATAGATACAAGAACAAGTCAAGCCTGTACCATTCAGACAGCGTCGATCATGAAATCCACTTAAGAGATCATATATGGGCGTTTGGAAACCTAGGCCATCATTCTGCACTTCCCTTTATTTTAAAACACGTTGACCATGATGACTCTAGCATCCGATCAGCGGTGATTTCAGCAATGCGCAAAATGCCTCACAAATATACGGACAAACATCTCATGAAAACGTTGTACCAGGATGAAGAGCCTAACGTGAAGGCAGCAGTTGTTGACGTTTTTATAGATCGCCATCAGAATTTAAGTGACTCTATAGTAAAAGGCTTGGAATACGCAATGTGGCATGCAAACAAGGGCGAGACATTAGATTCAGCAATACGCGAATTCTTAGAAAATCACGGTAATCATGAGAAAGCGGTTCACTTGCGCAAAAAACGTAAAAAAATCCATCGCCGCAAGCGTGCCTTGTTCCCGGTACTCCGCCCTCGAGAGTTTCAGTTAGGACGTGCGAAAGATTGGAGAATGGTGGTAGGAGGAGAGTGGCTGGGAGCTGAAGCTGCTGTTCAGTTTTCTAACATGCTAAAACTGCGAGTTGGAATTTTTGGCGGGAAAGCTGCAGTTGAGCTTGACAATTCAGGGATAGTACGAGGTCATCTTCTCAAATACGGGTTTGAAATAGCAAAAGGTAGGGCTGCTTTCAGAGCCTCAGCCAGTTTTAAAAACGACTTTCCGAAAGACCTTATACATACTGTTGCAGATGCAGCAGACGATCTTCTTAGGCAGTTCGATAGCATTACAAACGTAGTCGTTGAAACAATTGCCAAGTTTAGAAGAAAACTCCTTGGATTCATTCCACTGAACACCGAAAAGTTGACAGATTTCTTACAAACCACAGACATCTTTTTACAGAATTTGAATGTCCCACAAAAGATAATAAAAGGAGTACACAAGCTCATCAGTTTCTCAAAAGATGTAGATGTCAATAAAAAGATATGGAAGTCACTTACGGTAAAGATTAAAAAAATCGAGGAAATTCGGACGAGGATAACTGGATTTGACACAGTTGTTAATAAAGCCCTTGAGACTCTGAAGAGGATGTTCAAAGTTGTTGATGGCACTAGTAAGTACCTGCCAAAGCACTTACCTGCTGGCTTTAGCTTGAAGGAGCTTCTCCACACACTGAAAAACGTTTCTGGGTCTCAACAGAACTTCACGTTTAAGGAATATTTCGCTAATTTAGGAGCGCAAGTTCCAGATGGTTTCAATTTACTACTACCATTCAAGTTGTCTTCTTACTTCACTTCACTCAATAAGCTTGAGCAAGTGTTATTGACAATACAAAGTCTCGGAAACAGTTACCTGAATATGTCATCCTTATTGGACTCGTTAAAAACCACAGTGTTACCTACTCTACAACTTCCTTTCGTGAAGTTGCGTTCGCCAAGATTTCAAGGACAGGGATTTAATTTTGGCCTTAATTTCAACTGGAAATCTAGCTTAATGTTTGACTTGAAGTTGAACTCTCCTCCGTTTAAGAAAATCATATCTATCCTAAGGAATGTCAGTAGTTTTTTCCAGCAGTTCACGCATGCAGATTTTGATCTCCCAAGGTTTTTCCAAGACATTCTGCCAGGGGGGAAAATGGACCTAAAACGTAACTTCTTAGAGCTCTACAAAGCACAACAAGCAAATTCCATTCATCCACCAGAAGTTCTGCAAACGTTTATGTCCAAAATAATAAATTTACTGGATTCTCAAGTTTCAAATGTGTCAAATCTCAGCGACACAGCAGATTTCTTTCAAGAACTTGGACCTGCAATGACCCAGTTTGCAAACACAAATCTTGAAAAAACCTGCAGAATCCATGAAATGGTCCGGGACCAGTCTCTAAAATTTAGAGACTTTGGAAAAGAGATCGCAGACGACTATATTTTTGTTCTCAAAGAAATCAGCAACAAGACTGCAAATGTTTTGAAAGAATTTCTTACTTTTACAGTGCTGGTGGAGACCTTGATAGAGGACATCGAGCTAAACTATTCTGCTTCTGCCAACGATCTTATCTCGGATTCACTAAAAGAGCTTTCTGGTAAGATGGGAAACATTAATAATCTAACGGATCACATTTTAGATTTCGCAAATGGCACTTCCTCTAAAGTTGGCGGGTTGTGTATCAAAACGGCAAATTTCACAGCTGACGTCATCGACGAAATACAGTCTGGGGCTCGTCATGTTTTTCAAAACTTTTCTTCCTTTATCGGACCTGCAGCGGTAACTGTAAAGACTGTTGCAGCTAAGGTTAAGCTCACTGTTGCTAAAGTTAAAGACTGGTATAAAGAAAATCTGGAACATCACGTAGGAAAGATTTCCCGCGTTGCACAAATTGTGTCTGATTTTCTCTCAGTATTGGGCAGAAAAAAAGGATTCCTTAACACTGTTCAAGAAATAGCCCATGGCCTTAACGAAGTTCTTAAGCACCTAGGAAACTTTCCCCAATATATGGACAAGGTGCGGGGAACCATAGATGAGGTGACAGATTTCGCAAACCGAGCTCAGAATTATACAGATGAAATTCAGAAGCTTAGCATTGGAAAACAGTTCGGAATTGACTTCAAGGAACGGGTAAGAAATTTGTGTGAAACATTTCAGGCCATCAGCGCCGAAGAAATCAACGAACTCAAAATCTCTAATTTGATGGACGAGGTTAGCTCATTTTTCAACAAAGAAGTTAGCGCATTCGTTACTAAAGCTTTATCCAAGTTAAGAAACATAAAAGGTTTCATACGAAAGATCCGAGAAGAACTTAATGATATAACTGATATGGTAACAAAGATGATTGTTGTTCTATCCGATCTTAAGACCTTTAGCAAGTATTTGTCGCCTTTACTGCTAAAAGCACTTCAGCTACCGGACTGTCAACAAATGAAAAGGGTCATTTTGGATAACACTAAGCCGTGTGTTCAAAAAGCGCAAGTCATTGGAAGCTCCTTTATTGCCCAGTACAAAGACTTCAACAGAGAGCTAATAGTCTTTGATGAACTGATATCCGAAACATGGAAGAACTTTAAGATCCAGAAATGTACAAAAAAAAGCACTTGCCTCTCTAAGGTCTTTATTGAGCAAGGAAAGGTCATTAAAAACAAAGTGAAATCGTTAACGGCAAAACTTGATGCATCAAGAGGATATACTGATTTGCTACAAACGTGCAAAGAAGGAGTAGACAACATAACGGCGGTGATAGATAACGTATGGCTGCTCACCGAACAAGTCCACAATTTCTCTTTGAAAGAAGACGTTCAAAGAGTAATTACAATGCTGCAGAAGATCACAGGACAAAAACCAGAAAAAAGGGAATTAGCGCGTCGCAAGAGAACCACAGAAGCTGCGAAATCCAAAATTGAAAGACTATCTGATTACCTGAAAAAGGTCAAGGAAACGGAAGAAAAAGTCCAGAATTTTCAAGAAAACATTTTTCTGGTGCTGCGTAATGTCTACGATACTGATGTACATAGAAATATCCAGTTACTCAAAAGCACAATTTCCAAGCTTAAGAAATCGTACCAGCTATGGCAAAACGCAAAAGCTCTAGAAAACCCCCTCACAGCGTTGGATGTTGGTACTAAAAGCGCTCTGGCATTTGCTGGAAAATTTGAGAAAGTCGCTTCTCTCCTTTCGCTTCCATCAAACAAATTCCTGGCAAAAATAGAGGAGATTACAAATGTAGTTAAACCTTTTCTTGACAAGAATGTCGTAAGGGTCACAGAAGCAGTCAGAAAAGTAAATGGGTTCGTAGACAAAGTCAGTGATTTTTTAAACAAGATTCAAACAAGGCAGAGAGGCTTAGACCCAAGCGCTTACAAACCTTGGCAATATTTCCCTTACTGCTCTAAAGACGTCTGCTTGCGACCATTAAGAAGATCTTCATCTCTTTACCTGTCGACAATTTTCACATGGAAATTTCCTCATTTAGATGATCTTTCCTCTATGCAAAAGGCTGGACGTTGGTTGACACCTGGTTTGTTTGAGGATTATAAAGTTGACGGAATTTCTCAGCTATCGAAAAACGAAATGATCCTTGGAATGTATGGGGTGGTGAGTAATAGAGACAAAGCATCCCTCCTCGTTGTAACAAATTTTGAGCAAGGAGTGAATAAAATAATTCAACTATCCAGACAAGAACTTCCATTCTCTGTGAAGATCGGTGGACTTGCCATTGCTAGGAATTATCTCTGGATCGGTGATAGTAGTACAAATGAAATCTTTTCAATAAAAAAATCTGCTGTTACATCTACGTTTACTTCAGTTAAGCCTTCATGGGTAGAAATCTACAAGACCGTTTCTGTCGAAGGTTTTGTCGAGTCTCTGTCCTATGACGAGCCAAGCAATGTCTTGTGGGTAACGAGCAGCAAAGATGGAAAGGCTTATGGATATCAGCTGACAGTACACGGTGATATACTGGGCTCTAGTGCTCCAGATCCCGACAGAGTGATCGGCATAGGAGAGAACGCTCAAGGGATGACGATTGTGAGACAGTTTGGTCACGAGTACGCATGCATCTCAAGGTGTGCATTAATTGCTGGGTTTCAGTGCAAGCTTGAGTTTCATAACATGGGCAAAGGAAAGCAAGTAGGAGAAAACACACTTGCACGAGTGGTTCGAACTCCTTCTGGCTTAGAATCCGTTTCTAGAGTTGATAACGAAGTCATTGCTGTTGCGTTTTCAAGTGGCACTTTTGCTGAGAAAGAGAATGTAGAGCTTTCAGGAGGAGACTATGAAGACAGGTACTTTAAACTAAGGTTGCCAATTCTTAACACTACATTTGGAATTACCGAAAACTGTCTCTATTTTAGATTACTTGGCGACTATATTTTACACCCTCGAACGATATTTCCTATAGGAGACGCTATGTGTGGATCAAAACGCAAGCGAAGTATCTCTCAAGAGCTTCTGGAAACAGATGTCTATCACGAAAAACTTGAAGATATCCACCAGAGAAGCAAGAGAATTCCAAGAAACGTTGCCGATTCAGGATTGTGTATAAGCTTCCGGAATGAATCACTTTTAAGTGGTTCCTATACCTTTTTCGAAGTATCGAAAACCATTACTGTGTTTGGGATACCCGTAAAGTTTTGTGCTGACGCTGTAGGTCACTATAGTGTTGGCTACGAGGCAAGTCTTTGCATAACATGTAGGGTTTTTAAACTGGGGCTTATCCCAGGGGCATGGATTACAGTAAGTGCTGGTGCAAGCGTACCTTTGTTACTTATTGAAGCTGGTGTGACAATTGAGGCAAAATTGCTTGAGACGCGCCTTGTTCCACAGTTACGCGTAGATTTCAGCGCGTGGCCACTTCAAGCCTGTGTTGAACTCAAGCTGATTATGACTCCGCTTAGTATTAGAGTGTACCTTTGGTACAGACTTTTTACCATTCAGAGTATCAAAGTCTATCTATTTGGTATTGACATCAAGTTCGGTTGGGGAAAAAAGAAAACTTTTAAAGAGTGGATTTGGTCAGCACCGCAGATAGATAGAATCCTGTTCATTAAATGTAGCACGAAAGCAGACAGAACGCCACCAGTAGCAGGATCATGCGCGGCCAAACAGGCGGCGGAGAGAAAATATATAGTACACTGGCATGGCTTTCACGAAGATAGTAAAATCGCAACTTATCACGTCCGCATTGGATCGATAGAAGGAAGTGATGATTACTACTCTGTTTCGGTTGGCACATCTTTGAGCCATACTATCGAGAATCTTTCAATAGTGGAAGGCAGAAACGTGTATGTGAGTGTCCTGGCAACAAATGATGAAGGGCTTAATAGTCCTTTTGCTCATTGTCCAGTATTCCAAGCAAGGCGAAAGGGGCCACAGATTGCTTACGTCCACGATGGTGCGGTAGCTGGAACTGATTCTGATTACCAACATGATGTCTTTTCCCTAGGGATGAATTTCGCAATTAAGAGCGATTTCACGGAGATTATTAACCTAAGATGGGGAGTTTCCTCGCAGCCGTCGTGTCACTTCGATGACTCCGAGACAAACGTTGTTCCATTAACACCCCTCGGTGATTCTAACGCAATTCATGTATCTGGTTTAAGTCTTCAACATGGAAGTAAGTACTTTACTCGCTTGTTTGCAATGGACAAGTTTGGACTAAAGACAGTTTTATGTAGCGATGGTGTCTTAATAGACACTACTCCGCCAATACCAGTATCTTTTCAAGACGGTGATGGAGATAAGGATGCCAAATTCCTTGCATCCCTAAGACGTGTGCGTGGCAAGTTTGAACCCTTTATTGACCCCGAGAGCCCTATTGTGAAGTATGAATGGAAGGTTGTTAATAATGTCTCTGATAAAGATGTAACCTCGTTTATTGGAATACCCCTCACACAAAGAACAGTGCTCATAGAAGGCCTTTCTCTTGAAGCAGGCACACCTTACAGACTTATACTTCGTGGAAGTAATGCAGCGGGTCTTCAATCAGTTACTCAAACAGATGGATTTATACCAGATGTTACATCTCCACTTTGCGAAGGAACCGTGATTGACATAAGTGACATTGCCGACACGTTTGACTTAGATTTTGTAAAAGGGTTAGACAGTATCCAAGCAAAGTGGAAATGCTTTGACCGTGAAAGTGACATCAACTACCAGCTTCTGGGTATCGGAACGTATCCTGGAGGCGATGACATTAAAGCGTTTCAAGATGTCAGGTTTCTGTTGCAAGCCTCAACGGAGACTGGAATGTTCTACGTTAAATATTCCAACATAATTATTCTTCCAAGGGTTAGATATCATGTTACCGTAAAAATTATCAATGGCGCGGGTCTAAAGAAGACGATCTCTTCGGACGGCATTTCGATTGACATTACTCCGCCAACAGTTGCTCCCGAATACATCAGAGACGGACATAAAGGAGGGGACAAAAACTTTACTAGTGAGCGTTTTGTATTTAAAGCACACTGGGAGCAAGCCTTCGCTGACGCTGAAAGTGGCGTAGTAGAATATCATGTTGGACTAGGTACAGCACCTGGGACAACAGATATAAAATCATTCTATACGATAGCCTCGCCAAATGTGACAATAACAGGATTGTTTCTAGAAAATGGTCGACGCTACTACGTCACTGTTGTGGGCTGCAATAGAGTGGGGATGTGTGCCAACGCAAGTAGCAACGGAGCCACTGTTGACTTTGCCCCTCCTCACACCGGACTAGTAATCACGGGCCTAACAGGCCCTCCAGTCTTGTACCAGTGGATAACAAACTCAGTTTGGGCCCGATGGAAATGGTGTTCGGCGGATGAAAAAAGGATTTTCACCATTCTTAATTCTAGCCAATGTTCCAACGACAGCTTCTTTGATATAGACAGTGGGATAGCCATGTTTGGTATGTCAGTAATATCTCAAAAAGCTGACCAGCTGATCTTACCTTTTAAGTTGACCGGACGCCAAAGATATAGCGGTCTCACTGTTGATCTCAATGATGGCGTTTACTCAGTAGCCATCGAAGCCAAGGACAAAGCAGGTGTTACTTCGCGTGCTCTTTCGAACTCCTTTATTGTCGATAGCAGTCCTCCATTAATAACACTCGTTCAGCATGGTCATTTTGGAGAAAAAGTGCGATATGTAAACTCGTCAGTCATAACTTTTCGGTCTTTCTTCATGGTCGAAGACGATCTTTCCGTAATAACCTCTTACAAAATTGGTGTTGGAAGCTTTTCTGGTGCTGATGACGTCTTACGATTTGTGACTATCAACCTACAACATTCCCCTTCATCACTCCAAGCAAACTGGACATCCTTAAAAACAACGACCGTAGAAAATAGCAAACTATATTTTATAACCATACTGGTAAGGAACAGTGCTGGTCTCTTTACTGTTAGATCATCTCCCCCGCTGCTGTGTGACTTTGAAGCTCCAAAAGACGGATTCGTAGTGGACGGATGGGCTTCAAACGATGCTGACTATCAGAGCTTCCTTTCACTCTACCGAGCACACTGGTACGGATTTACAGATTTCTCGGGAATTGAGACTGCTTACCTTGGGCTGTCTAGTGAAGCAAATCTAGCTGTCTGCGATGTGAAGGAGGAACAAGTAGTATCACGTAACTCAGCCTTTCATGTTTTATCTGGACTAGCCTTGTTATCGGGGAAGAGGTACTACGCATGTCTCAGACTTGTAGATAGGGCTGGGAATGTGGCAATTTTTCATTCAAACGGTGTAATCGTCGATAGCAGCCCTCCGCTTCAAGGTGTCGTTTTTGATGGAACCCCAGATCAAGAGCTAGACGTACAGGTTGAGAGTTCCGTCCTCAGGGCTTCATGGAATAACTTTACCGAAAAGGAAACAAGGATTGTTTCATATCATCTTGCATTTGGATCGGTCCCGGGAGCGCAAGACATTCAAAAGTTTACAAACGTAGGGCTCGTTAACAAATCGTCAAGTACACGACTTAAGGTTCAAGAATTAGCTACCGGTCAAAGGTATTATGCAACAGTTATCGCCTTTAACGTACTCGGAATGCCCAGCTTTATGTCTTTTTCAAACGGAGTGCTAGTAGATTTTACGCCACCGATCTTTTTACAGCCAACAAGGGATGGTGACGATTCTAAAGTTGATGATAATTACACATCAGAGAATTTTCTGAAGGCAACATGGGTCTGTCAAGATAGAGAGAGTAATATTTCATCCATTGACATTATCTTCGGTCAACAACCTGGGGAAGCAGACGTTATGAGGTCAAGAAGTCTTTCAGTCTCACAAACGTCCTTTGTCATCAGTCAGAAGCTAGAGCTCGGTCGCAGGTACTTTGCTACTGTTCGGTGTACAAACAAAGTTGGCCTCACAGTTGTTTCTTTCTCAGATGGTATCGTGTTTGATAATACGGCTCCAACTCCAGTTTACGTGAAAGATGGTAGCTACCAAGTATCAAACAGGACATTATTCTTGGCTTTTAAGTTTGTTGATGCAGAAAGTGGTGTACACGCATACAAAGTTCAAGTGTGGGGAGAGTCACCTAGCGCTCATCTGGATTCGAACGGCTTCTTCACGTTTGCTGGCAACGTTACCGCTCATTATATTAACCTTCCTAAAGACCTTGACAGTGGAAAAAGATATTACGTCAACGTGACGGCTGTAAATGGCGTTGGATTGGAAGCAACAAAGCAGTCAGATGGATTTACTATAGATATGACCCCTCCAGTATGCTTGCAAGTGTGGGATGGCAATGGTGATTTTCAAGATGACCAGGAATATGCCCCCAGCTCCCACAGATTTACGATTTCTTGGGTGTGCTATGACAACGAAACCCCTATAGTGAGCTATCGATTTTCTGTTAAAGATGTGAATACACTGAAATACGCAATTCCATTTCACGAGTTAAAAACTCGGCTAAACACATCAGGAACAGCACTTATCACTGGAGGAGGTCGAACAGCCAGTAAATTATTGGACGGCCATAATTATGCAAGTGGAATTGAGCTTCTTAATGCTGTTGGTATGAAAACGATTTATTGGACAAATGGAGTCACGATTGACAGCACACCTCCCATAGTGACCAAGCTAAAGCTTACATTCTATCCCCAAGATGACTTCCTGAAAGCTAGTTGGTTAGTGATTGACAAGCAAAGTGACCTGCGGTCCGTATCATGGGGCCTTGGAACTACTCCAGGAAAAAACAACCTCAAGAACTACACTTTATTGTTAACCCTAAGTGCAAACTTGTCCTTATCAAGTGCTTCTTTCAAGCAGGGCATCACCTGTTTTTTGAACCTACTGGCCATAAACAATGCTGGCTTATCAAGTGAAAGTTCTTCAAACGCAGTAGTCGTGGATCGCACTGCACCGAATCCAGGTGTTGTGGCTGCACATTACGCTTTTCCACCTAGTTATGATCGAAAAGGCAACAAAGTACCCAACTCCTCTCTTGTAGTAAGTTGGACGGGCTTTGCAGATCCTGAAAGTGGAATTAAGGAGACTAGCTGGGCCATTGGAACAAACCAACAAATGCTCCAAAATAATTCCCATCTGTACACCAAAGTTGTCCCCAGCGAGTCGGTTGATGGGGTAGTCGTACGAAATCATACACTTACGGCAAATGAAACATATTTCGTCTGCGTGCGAGTAACAAATGGTGCCGGTCTTCACAGAATCGACTGTTCCGCTGGGATGCTGATCATATTGGGTCAACTCTCTGCCGGCGTTGTGAGTGACGGTCCAATTTCTTCGGCCAACGACACTGACTTCCAGCTGGACGACAAAACATTATGGGTGCACTGGGATGGATTTAAGGACCCAGTGTATGGTATCTCGGGGTATGATTGGTGCATCAGAGATCAGCCGCCAAATCCATCTGGGTCAGGTATGTGTAAGTGGCCCTTCATGAAAGTTAGTCATTTAGAAACAAAAGCTAACCGCTTTAACAACCTGACACTTTCACACGGGACCAAATACTTTGTTACCGTAAAAGCTAAAAACATCAGGGGTGATGTCATAATGTCTTCTTCAGACGGCGTTGTCATAGACCGGACACCTCCAGTAGGAAAAACACTCGACATCTTACCATCATCGGGAAAAGATACTTTATATATAACATCGCCATCTGCCCCCGTAGTAACCTGGTCCATTGATGATCCAGAGAGCGGAATCAGCCACTTTGCACTTAGCGTTGGTAGCTTTCCATTTCAAAGCGATCTTTTATCTAGTCAGTACCTAGACAGTCTGAGTCGTTTCTTAGATTTAGACAAGGTTAATTTTACAATGTATGAAGGTTTATCATTCTATGTTACCGTTACTGCTGTCAACATGGTTGGTTTGGACACCGCTCTTGTTTCCCAACAAGTCGTAGTGGACTGGACACCACCGGAGTTGGGAACGATTTCGGACGGCAACCTTACCAGTCACTTGTTTCAAGAATTTATAGACATTGATTACCAAAGAGAGAAAAAGCAGCTGTTTTCCAAGTGGGCTGAATTTCAAGATTCTGAAAGTGATGTTATAGAATACAACTGGTGCGTGGGGACATCACAGGGTAAGAAATCTTTTCTAGTTTGTAAATAAAAGTTAATTCGACAGGCCTGTTTCTCGAAAGTCTTGGTAAGAGTCGCAAAAAAAAGATTTATTCCCAAAAATTTAGCAGGATACATTTCGTTTAAATTTGAAGTACATCGCATGAATTTCAAGATCAAAACAGTTCGTGAGACAAATAATACGCTCACAAAATATCTTACTGGACCCGAACCGTTATTGCGACTTCTGATATCCTCTGAATCATTTTAAGAGATCCTTGGTTTGTCTCTTCTTTACAGACAAGTGGCTTTTCGAACGGTGAGCTATCTTAGAATGCACTTTTGCAAGAACATTTTGTAGGTCAGCTATATTTAAAGTCTTCTGGGCTATCGACCGTCCTTTTAAAAAAGAGTTCGAATCTTTAAGGTAGGCGTCACTAAAACTGACAGCATGAAAGAAAAAAATGCGACTAGATTAAGTTTGTGGGGAGTTCGAGTTAGCTCATAAGAAATGACCAAGAAAATGTGGCCAAATCAGAGGGAGATAGGATCTTGTTCGTTTTATCCAGGATTTCGGGCTTTAACCGAGTTCGAGTTGAAGAGGTTCTATTGTATTGCTAAATTTTACACTCAGTTAAGCATCATTGTCCTACGAATTTCCCGGAGAGTATTTTCACTGAAGGTTCCTGATTTTCCCGTTTTCTTTTCAGGCATTTGCAATGTTAAAAGCATGACTTCTGTAAATCTTCTCACTGAAGTAGAAACCTCTGTCGTTCCTCAAGAGGGTGTACAATATTTTGTCACTGTAGAAGCAATCAATGGTGCTGGTCTCAAAAAAATAGTGTCGTCTGATGGCATATTTGTTGATAAGTCTCCACCTGTGATAGAAGGAGTTTATCACGGCATTGAAAGAGAAGAAACCGAAGTAGCGCATGCCATTTCGCAGGACGATGGTCAATGTTTAACGTTCTATTGGGACACACCGTATGACATGGACAGTGGAATTTCAAGTATTCAGTGGTGCGCGGGTACGACCAATAACTCGTGCGACGTCGTTCCTTCGACTTTCGTAGATCGAAAAGATACGTCTGTGAAGCACTGCATATCTAAAGCACTGGATTCTGGTACAACTGTCTTTATAATGGTAGCATTAAGGAATGGCGCCGGAATCAATAAGCAAGTCGTCTCTTCACCCCTTCTTATTGATTCCACTCCACCAACAACAGGGAAAGTCATCGTAGGAAATACTGTCGGCACAAAGTATTTCAAGAAGAATGATTTTATTACAGCTCAATGGAGTGGATTCTCTGACCCTGAGAGTACTTTGCGCTACTTCGACTGGTCTATTTGTCAAACAAGCGTGAAAGGCAAATGTGTTACTCCGTTTGTGAACGTAGGGCTCAAGACTAGTATAAAGATTGATTCACAAGGTCTTACATATGGTGTGTCGCTTACTTTAATTGTTCGTGCATTTAATAAAGTTGGACTTTTCAGTGAAGTTGTCTCTAACCAGTTCATACTAGACGGTACTAAGCCGTCTGCTGGAACAGTATCTGACGGATTGAAGAGAAACAAGGACATAGAATTTCAAAGTTCTACCACTCAACTCTCTGCTAATTGGTCACCATTCACTGATAGTGATAGTAATATTGCTGAGTATAAAATATGTGCAGGAAGAAAAGCAGGAAAATGCGACGAGAGTGACTTCGTTGTTGTCGGCATTAACCTCACAGGTACCATAAACGGATTAAGCTTGGAGCATAATAAAAATTACTTCGTGACCGTGCAAGCAACGAGCTATTCAGGTTACGTCACAACGGTAACCTCCAATGGAGTCAGAGTTGACAGCACGCCGCCTGTTAGAGGAGACGTCAGAGACGGAAAAACACTTGCAGACATCGACTATCAGGCAGATGACACATACATCTTTGCAAACTGGGACGCCTTCCATGATTTAGAATCAGATGTTATTAAGTACACATGGTGTGCAGGAACACAAAAAGGTCTCTGTGACGTCGTTATGGAAACCAGTGTGGGAGATCGCACCAGTGTTGGACAGCAGATAACACCTCCATTACCAGCAGGAATAAAAATATTCGTTACTGTTAGAGCTTTTAACAAAGCAGGCGCATCGACTTCTGCATCCTCGGATGGATTCGAAATCGACAATACTGCTCCACTTCTCTTGGAGGTAACTTAGCTTCATTTACATTGATCCTTTCTCATAGGTTTGCATCTGCAAAAAAATCGTGTTAGTAATTTCTAATTTGTCGTTGCAGGTTTCGTTTGACTCTTATCTAATCCAACATTCCCGCCAAGGGTAGACACTTGGTGTGGGCTCTTCTGATAATTTACTGTTTTCCGATAAAATAAAGAACAATCATTTCTTCTTGCCCTTTTCATTATTTCAACAGGTATTTGACCTGCAGCAGACATTGCGTGATAATGACATTGATTTCCTAACCGCTAAAGATGGGTATTGCGTTGGATGGGATGTTATGGATACTGAGAGTGGCATTCTAACGAGTGAGTTGTCCATTTGTTCCGATGTAAATGCCAACGACTGTTTGCTTCAAAGCTTTCATGTCGGCAACAAGACGTCTTTGTGTATAACTGATATGGAATTCAAAGAAGGCGTTAAATATAGGTCGAAAATCCGCGTCTTTAATACCGCTAGACTTTCTACCGAGCTTCTCTCAGATGGATTTGTAGTAGACACTACTGCTCCCCTGATGGGTGAAATAACATTTCTTGATAAGTCACGCGTATTCTTGGATAGTGCTGAAGAAACTTTCTCACACGCCGAAATTGCTGTCCAATGGCACGGATTCACGGACCAACAAAGTGGCATTAGGACCTTCTACATTTGCGTGGGAAATCGGTCAGGGGAATGCAACATCAAAAATTTCACTGACGTGGGAAATGCCACTTCGTTTTCCTTTAAAGACTTGCTGCTAATTCAAGGGGAGACGTACTTTGTTTCTGTGAAGGCAGAAAATCGAGCTGGAATGCCGAGCGACCTGACGACATCTGACGGGGTCATTGTCGACAAGACAGGTACCAATTAGTACAGTTTTCTAGTTGAACATAATTATTTAATGTTTTTCGATAGGAGAAATGCTGCAAGATTATATTTCGTCTGAAAAGACAGACATAATTCTGCTAACCTTCTCAATGGTCGTGATTCCAGCGCGGAAGAAAACAGAGAGAGATGCTAAATGTATAAACAACGGGCAAATAGATGCGTTAAACAAAGGCATTCAGCGAAGTGACACACTGGCCTTTTTAAAAGGAGAGTGAAAAGGCACGTCTGATTCAAAGTTTTCTTTTGTTAATATCGAACGGTCAAACAAAGGTGCATAACAAAACGAACAATATATTGCGTCTACTTCTGTATCGAAATGACCAACCAACGAGAAAAGTAACACTCTGCTTAGCAGATTTAATCAACAAACAAACCGCATATGTAAACCAATGGGGTGCTCTTGACAAGTCGAAGAACTGTAATTTCGGTCGTGCCATTAAACGCTGTACCTGCAAAGTTACGCGACTTTTGACAGTCTCATAAAAAAATTTTGGTGCACCTGTGGACACTAATCGCTAAGTTCGTGAGGGTCCTGTGCTGATTTGTTAACAATTAGTTCATGCGTCAGCGTGCGTATGTCGAGATATTGAGCACGCGGGAAGTTTGGAGAGCACGAAAGAGGCGTAAGAGTTGCACGAGGCGCAGCCGAGTGCAACTCTAGCCTCTTGAGTGCTCTCCAAACTTCCCAAGTGCTCAATATCTCGACATACACACAGCTGCAGCATGAACTAATTGTTTTATAACATTATCAAAGCGATCAATGCAGCAGTTAACTGAAAATTTTATTATTGAAGGGCGCGCTCAAAGCAGTACGCGTCAATGTTTACGTGAATATATCTTTTTTCCTCACAGTTAATCTTATGTTTTTATCCTGAAACTGAGAGAAAGTGTACTCTAAAATGATTGTAAAATCCATATTTAGGTGCCGGAAAACTATTAATTTACCGAAAAATTGTTATTGAGAGAAAACAACTTTGCAAAGAATGAGCTCACGCCATAGCCCGCACAGCTCGCGGAGATGACAACAACAACAACAACACTCACCTCTTTTCCTTACTATCGGTTAACAAATTCAAACGTTTCCTCCTAAATTTCTTTACAAAACACATGGTAAACGCTTCATTGTCTATTGCTGAGTTATGGATGCACTCAAGAGACTCAGGATTGCTAAGCTCACAACAACTCGAGGAATTACGAATAGTTTATTGACGTCATCAGCGTGCTCAATAGGAATATGAAGCACGCTCGCGCTATTGAATTTGATTAGGCGAATTTTCTAGCTATGTTATAATATATTTTAGCGAATAAGATGGGGAGGGAGTGCAAACTGTCGGTGAAAAAGCGAGATGTGGAGGCCCAAAACAAAAAAATATATATCGCCACTTTTCCGCTCTCAGCCGTCGGAGGAATGTGTACTCTTCAGATTTTTTCCGACATCATGAAACAATTTGACGACCTCTCGAACTCGTTAATCGTTGTCGACGATGGAATAGACTATAAGCAGTTTACTCCCTTTCTTTGTTCCAGTGACTTTCACCGTTTTTGACCGGTTTTTTGACAAGCCCTGTTCCTTCACTAAAACGTATTTTCTAAAGAATGATTTTTATTTCTTCACCGTTTTTCATCAACTTTATAAATTAATTTACTAGAGCACCACAAAACTAGTTTAAAGGCAATTCGAAACTCACTTTGTCGCATGTACGTCGCGCTACGTACTGTTCTTTTGTACGGTCCTTAATGGTCCTTCAACACAATTATCAGATAACGTGTAAGTAGTTGATCGCAAAGACCTACAGTAATTCCCTTTTGCGTTGTAAAAAAAGGAAAAGGAAGCAACGTTCACCATGTAAAAGTCTTTGCACGGCCAAGGGCAAAACCATGGGGCTCACATCCGCGGGAATTTACAAAGGCTCAAAATCTCTTTGCCACGCGAAGTGTAAATACTGTAAATTTTTCGGAGCTTAAACCAGACAAACGTCGCATATCTCGCGCATGTTGCACATAAAGCGTGAAGTATAGCACACTGCCCCAGACAAAATATTTACTGGCGAAAACAAAGCTGCAGTGATGGCTGATCGTCGTGGCTTTGTATTAAAAACCCGAGAAAAGTCATCTTATTTTGATTATTAGTCTTTTCTTTATCACTTTAATCCAAAGGACCTTTCAATGGGGAAGTTATACTAGATGGAAGTGAAGAGGGCGTGGACATTGACTTTCAAGAAAGCAGAACCAGTTTAACAGCTCACTGGAATGCCTTTCAAGACCTAGAAAGTGACGTTACTAAAGTCACATGGTGCGCGGGATTGTCTGCAGGTGCTTGTGATGTTGTCAAAGAAACGTTACTGCATCCAGAGAGCATTTTTGTCCATAAAGTCCTGACACGCCCGATGATGAGTGGTCAGAAGTACTTCATGACGGTAACAGCAACCAACGGCGCCGGGGTTACAACGTCAATTACATCGGATGGCGTTATGATTGACGATACACCACCATTGACTGGTACCGTGATTGATGGTACTGAATCAGATTTGGATTATCTTGATGGCGAGAATGATGTCAGTGCACGGTGGTTTGGCTTTAGGGACTTTGAGTCTGGCATTGACTATTACCAGGTCGCCTTATGTGACACACGGAATCTGTCCTTCTGCCCTCAGCCATTAACTGAAGTAGGAAAAACAAGCAACGTTACCATCACAGGTAAAAGTTGTCGCGAGAAATACGTTTACGTTGACTACCTTCAATGGCTTAGTCTAATTTTAACCTCCTTGGGTTCAGAAGTTAATATATTTAGTTCCTATTAGGAAATAGTCTGTTGTAATAACTGAATTGATTGTGTGAATATCCTCTTAGATGGCCTATTGTAACTTTGTTGGCCAAAAAATTAATGAATTAAGTTAATGTCAGAACGAAGAGAACGTCCCAACAAGAAAGCAGAAAACAAAAGCAGTAGATGCCTACTGATATCATTGCAACAACAAACAAAGTAATTTGCTGGTCATTATAAATTAGTGATCGCAAAGGCCGAGGTAAATCGTTATTTCTATGAACATATTAGCACCCGTCTTTAGTTTACTTCCTTTCTCGACAGGTCTTGATCTTCAAGGTGGCGTACATTATAGGTTTATCATTAGGACAGTGAATCTCGCCGGGACTAAAGTTGACGGTTTCTCCAACGGATTCACAGTTGATTTCACTCCTCCAATTATCAGCAAAGCTTGGATTGGAGATAATACAAGGAACGTTATTTACCATGGAGATTCTAACCGGATTACTGTCAGGTAAAGACAAATTTTTTTGTGACCCGCATCATGTCTACCGTTGAAAACGACAAAAAAGATTTTGCTCAACATCAGGCGTCTAAAAAAATAGTTAGAAAATAATACGGAGATCACTGCGAAGATAACAAGCAGAAATTTGACGAGGACTTCAAGAAACTTAAGCAGACGATTTGAGAGAGAAGAATGCAGTTTAAAAGTATTTGAGTAAACTTCGAACAATTTGAAGAAGGCCTAACTGTTAAAGTCAAAAACATAGGCTGGAAATGCATGGCTATTATTTTTCTCTTAAGCATACGGCATTATTTTCAACCGTGTGAATTAAGCTGACTACTTCTGGGGCAAGAAGCGATAAGTTTCATAACGGAACGGAATGAGGTACATATAGCATATTCAGCCTAAAATAGATATTTACTTTACTATTTATTGCAGCTGGACTCCATTTATCGACCTCGAAAGTGGTGTAGATAAATATGAAGTGTGCTTAAGTTCTTCTATTCAAAATTGTTCAGTCGCGACGTTCATTAACGTCGGACTTAACACAAGTTGTACAATAGATGGATTGCAGCTTACCCATGGCAGAACCTATTTCGCTGTTGTAAAAAGTACCAACAAAATCGGAATGTCATCAGAGACGACGACTGATGGGGCTTTGATCGATCTTACGCCACCTTCTTTGAAAGAAAATAAAATCTCGGTTGAAATTCCTACCTCAAAACAAGACTCTGTGTTACAAATGAACGACTCTTTCTCTCGCGTACTCCTAAAATGCTCCGAAGAAAAGGTGACGTCTAGCTGGGATGAATTCGAAGACCTGGAGAGTGGATTGGTAGGATACAACTGGTGTGTGGGAACAGCAAGGACCCTATGTGACGTGATATCTTTGAGGTCTGTGGGGCAGCAAACAAGTGGCAATGCGATCATCAACAAACTTCACTCTGGCCTTACACTTTTTTCGACTGTGTATGCTGTAAATGGGGCTGAACGAAGACAACAAATTATATCCGACCCTTGCACAGTGATTACAGAGGCACCAAAGCTAGTCAAAGTTATCGACATCCCAAGATCTAACAGAGTTGATCACATGGACATTGACTGGACAGCTAATAGCCAAGGCTTATCACTTAGCTGGCATGTCATCGGGAAATATCTCGACGATCTGCCACGTTTACGCGTCCAAGTAGCAATCACGACACTTTCCACTAAACTTTCCGCGCCTCGCCTTATAGGAAAACTGTCGTGGAACGGAGAGCTTCTTAAACAGCCATACATGGACATACTGCCGTGGCGACAGAATGTTACCATTGACAGTGTCACCCTGCAGCCTTGGAACCGTTATCGTGGTATCGTGAGGGTCTGGAACGAAGGAGATATCTATTCCGAGGCTGCAAGTGATGGAGTGCGAATCGAGCCAAGTCCTCCTCCAGTGCGCACCCTAAAAATCTGTGACAAAGCTGCTGAAAATGAACATTTACGCTGGTGGCCAAATCTTAGGCTATCTCCTCTCAACGGGAGTATGGCCCTTCTGGGTATCAAGTACATCTCGTCTCCGAAAGATTTAGAGCTGATGATTAGCAATAGTGTATCAAATACGACGCTTAACCAAACCGATTACGGTTTTGATCACGGTATGTTTAGCCCAACAACAGCATTTAAAATTATCGTTAAGAGATCATCAAGTGGTTTAAATAATACAAATACGACATTCCAGGAAAGGATAATGAAAGTAATTCCCGGTGTTGCTAACTCAGAAGGTCCGTGCTGTACCAGCAGGTTTTCCATCCCATCAAATTTCTTCAGTGACACACACTTAAAACCTGTTTTACCAGCCGAGGACTTTGGAGTCTCTGTTGCTATTTTACCAAATGACCAGGTAGCCATTGGAAGTAAAGATAAGATTGTTATACAGTCACTTAAAAGTCAAACTGATAGTCATTCTATTCTAGTGGAAAACGCATCAGATCCTTCTGTAAAAGGAAAGATAGCCTCGCGTGAAAACATAACGGGTTTTCTTTTAAATGACAGAGTCGTCCTATATGAACATAAAAGTGGTAATATCAAATTGAGAAAGACCATCGAAATAGGAAAATGCAAAACCGTTTCACAATCGAATTGCTCAGGAAACGAAACATGGGCAGATGCAGTAGGTCAAGAATTTGCTGTCACTACGCACGCTGTTGCAGTTACCGGAATTATGTCAGGTTCAAAGAACAGTGTTGTGGCGGTTTTCCGAGAGGACGCTGACGTATGGATGTTTGCTCAAGTACTTGGCGTCGAAAAGAAAGATCCCCTTTTTGGACAGTCTATAGCTTTAAATGAACGGTTAATGGCAGTAGCTACAGGAGATGGAAAGAATTGCTGTGTTGTAATTTATTCTATAACAACACTGTTTCTCCGACACACCATCTGCCTAGCTTTGCCTTCAAACCACACACCACCGTTGTCTTTGTACCTCACTGAGACTGACGCCCTTGTGGTTCTGTCAAAGACCGCAAGGCTGTTTCAAGTTTTCCAACTGAACTCCACATTAACTTCCCACCACGTGGTCTGCACATACAGTGCGTGGGACTACAAGGAGGGGCTGAGTGGGCATTTCGATGTAAACGCCCGAGAAGACGGTTTCGTTGCTGCCCTTGGTGTCCAAATTAAGGATGGCAGTCAGGGAGTCCAGCTTCTTGGATTCCAAGGAATTTACTCCAAAGACCCTTCACATGGAGTACCCTTTGAATGTATCAATCTAGGAAAGGTGCTTGCGAGAGACAGCAGATCACAACCCGATAGACAAAATCCTCGAACATCAGTGGCATTCAAAGGAAACACTATTCTATTTGGAGTACCTGGCTACCTTACATGGCCTAAAAATGATCACTGGTTGAGCACAGGGAGAGTATTTATAGCAACTTACTGTCGCTCAGATCATTTCCGCAGTAGAGTGTCTGCCTTTCAAAGTTTACGCCCTATGTCTTGCTTACCTTGCAAACAGGGAAGAAAATCGTTCGGAGGCTTTACTGAAACTTGCTCAGATTGCACGGCAAAACAATGTCCTTCATCCAATGACCCTTACATATTGACATCAGGTATCTGTGACAATGTGTCTTGTGTTTCTAAAACACTCGTCGCAAACGACAGCAATGGAGTTGACATTCACCTTAACAGTGACTCATTCTTTGTTCCTGGGCCAAAAAACGTCTACTCTATCGAAGTTCTTGAAACTACACGAGTCAATCTATCAACTAGCTGTACTTCAGAATCGTTTGTTATTGACTCAACAGCTCCTGAAGTTGGAGCTGTTTACGATGGTCTTGGCAGTGACCAAAACTTGAACTGTTCCGACAACTCAACGTTTGGTGAAAACAGCCAGTGTTCCACTCGCGATTTTGAAGACACAGATGTAGATTTCACCAACAACACGCGAGAGATCCACGCCAGATGGATTGATTTCCTGGATAACCAAAGTGGCATAGCTGAGTATTTTTGGTGTGTTGGGTCACAGCCAATGACAGACAACATCAAAGAATGCGAAAGCACGGGATTAAGACCAAACGGCAGCCACTATGGCGTTAGTTTAGAACACGGCGATTTTTATTACGTTACAGTTGTCGCCTGCAATGGAGCCCACAGATGTTCAGCGGCACACAGCGATGGGGTTACAATTGATATCACGCCACCCGTAATGAATTACGTTCGAGATGGAGTCATGGGACCAGATATGGATTATCAGGTAAAAATATAATTTCAATTGTACACTATGTGGATTGATAATGCTACGTGTCGAAATTGTGGAAAAAATTTCTACCGGACTGGGGATTGTAGTTTTGGACATGAACTCAAAGAAAAATTTACGAAAAGAAAAAAAAAACAACTGTGGCGAGGGTTAAAAAAAAAAAATGACGAAAATCCTTTGAGGTTATGCCCGGTACAGCAAAAAGGAATAACTTAAATGAATAATTGTGAAAAAGGCAAGGCAAGACGTCAAGGTCATCTTTGACTTCCTTATATTTCAACCTTGTTTTCTTATTGTCTTTTTAACGTGGTTTTGATTTACGGCTTCTTCTGTTAAAAATCCAAAATTCTTCTCCTTAAATAAGAGAATTGTTCGTTTTTAAGTCATCTTTTCGCACTTGAAAACTTATGAAAAGCTTCAAAAATTTTGCTCCTCAGTTATAAAGAAAATGATGAAGGGTGATATAAAACAGGCACGATTGTTATGTTTTACAGGTATTTGTTGATATCATTTTCGCGTACTTTTGGGCGAGTGACCTAGACAGTGGAGTGACGTCATATGAAATTGCTTGGGGTACTGCACCAAATTTAACGGATATATCAGACTTTGAAGAGGTCGTCAACACTACGGTCTGGCGCGCACGACTCGAAGACGATGTACTTAAAGTAGGGGAAAGTTACTACGCCACCGTAAGAGCTACAAATGGGGCTGGTTTGCTCTCAGAAAGCCTATCCTCCGATGGAATTATAGTCGGTAAAACTGAATTTATCTTCGATAACACATCGACAGGATCCTTCTTCTTCGATACAGTAAACATTAATGACGATGGGACGCGAAAGGATAATGGCGTGGGTCAGACATATGGAACATTGACTGTCCCCGAGGGCGCTGTTAAAGGAGAAGTGAAGTTGAGATGTTACAGTCTGGATGAAATGGCACTGAGCAAAAACAAGACGGCAGAGGGTCCTGTGAGCCATCCAGCAAAGACCAAACCAAAGGTATGAATAACTAATAAGAAGGCAACCGTGTTACTTTTTACCTCCAAACGTCGTTTTGTGTCCATTTGCGTTGTGATGAAGCACTAAAACTCTCAGCATAGTTTTTGTGTCAACCTAAATTGCGTTATCGCATTATTACTTTACAGATGCCGGTTGGGAATTTAAAAAGAGGCGCAATTAGTGGGATCGTGTTCAAAACCAACGATAATTGTTGCCATAATCACTGATTAAAATGATCTAATTTCAAATTTATATAATGTAGAAAACAAATTCTAAATTTCTTTTCTTTGTAAAACACTGGTTGGTATCCAATAAGGGAAACTAAATGTCTGCTAAGGCGGTAACTCTAACAGTGAAAGGAGCTTCTAAAGAAAATGATAGCTTCGCGCGTCACCCCTTTTACGACAGTGTGAAAACTATTGAGATGTTTAACATGTCCTTTTCTTTGCAACAGCAATTCCTACTTGGAAACTACAGTTTCCAGATAAAAGCGTTAGATCCACTGACAAACACTGTTCAAGAAGGGTATCGATTTGACAAGCCCATTAAAGTCGATATGTTTTACGACGTTGCTAACCTGGTGAGAGCTAATGAAAAGTACGTCAACAAAGAACTCACCGAGGAAGATGTGGAACCTGTGTTGTATCTGTGGGATCCAGATAATCACACCTGGTAAGACATTTAAATAGTTCAAACTGCATGAGGCCACAGAGAACTGCTTTGCTTTGATGACACAGTCACTTGAATACCAATATTATCTCAAGACTGAAGTACAGTTATTTTCGTGAGGCCAACATCATTTTTCTCGGTACACACTTCCAAAAATTGTAAACCAGGCAATTCAAGCTGCAAGAAAAAAAGTGCGTTTTCAGTTAAATAGTTTTCTTTTCCACATTGAAGGAAGTATACTTAAATAAATACAATGTAGCGGGTCAACTGTAACTCATGATTTATATAAATTACTGAGTAAGGGGCTGTTTACAAGAAGGAACAAAGATCCTAGAACCAGGAAGATCCTAGAAGGCGGTACAACTTTTCGTTGGGTTTACTTGCAGAAATTTCGGTCCGTGTGGTTATCAGTAGACAAGGAATTAAATATTAAAGATTACCCACTGAACGACCCGCCGCCATTTTTGTGTGCTTTGTCCCTAGTAGTAGGATCTTCCTAGCGAAAGCAGTTTACATGATGCTAGGATCTTCCTATCTCTTAGCTGGGAAGATCCTAGCGCTAGGGACAAGTTCAACTTTTTGTATGTAAACTGAATTCAGAAAACATATGGCGTAAGATGATCCGCCTTCTAGGGTCATCCTGGTGCTAGGATCTTCCTCCCTCCAAGCAAACAGCCCCTAAGAAGTTGGATGTTAAAAGTGAACATCGTTTCATGAAATGTGCAAATCGACGCTGAAGAATTACGGAGATTTTTACCAATGAACTCTATCTCAACAGGCTCATGACTAAAGCCGTGATACTAATGGCAAATCTAACGTAGCTAAATACAAATGAAAAGTTTGCCAAAAAAAGCCAAAACATTCACACAAAGTGGACATTTATTTGGGTTTCCTTCTATTTCTCTGGTTCTCGTTATAGGTTTGATGCAGCCCTAACTTGTCCAGAACCTTGGAGTCACGTTAACCATTCCATTAAGTTGTTGGAAGTAAACGTTTGCCACTTGACGCAGTTCGCGTTCTTCTGGACCTTCACTCTGAAACACGGCTTCATTTTGTTTGAAAAAAATACTTCAAGTAAGTGCTTTAGCATTTATTCTGAAGAAAAACACGAAACGTCCAGAGAATTACTAGGGGCAAATTTTCGAATATTTTCTTAAGAGTCTAAAAAGGCTGCGCGAGAGACTGCATTCAAGTACACTGCCAAGGTTTAAAATGTCTATTTGGGTTACAAAAGAAGAATTTAATACACATACCAAAGGTTTACATTACATGACCGTGAAGTGTTACCACTTCAAAAGTTAAGTAAAAGCTTTTCCTCTCTTTTTGCAGTTTATGATTCGGATAGAGGTATCAGAGTCAAACGGGCGCAAACGGTTACCGAACTAGAAATTCCTCTTCGTCGCTCCAAAGGTTCCATGGGCAACATCACAGTACAGTGGTCCCTGTATCATAATGATTCCAGCCGCAAAATTGACCTTATATGGCCATCATCCGGGAAATTGTTCATAAAGGATGGTCAATGGAATGATTCGATTACACTGAATATTGCCAGTGATGAATGGGGAATGCCCGAGAGCGTGATCTGGATTGCGCTTGATAATGCAACTGGCGGGGCCCTACTGGCATCGAAGGATGAAACCACCGCAAAGATCATAATACTTCCCACCGCGTGGCACAGTGACGGGAAACGGAAAATAACTGCAGCAATGGTAGTGGGTCTGTGCGTGGCTACAGTGGTCGTACTTGTGGCTGTCTCTTGTTGTATCTTTTTCTACAAACATTCAAAAAGGTACATTTGATTTCATACTTAGTATGATGTGTACGCGTGGTACAATCATCGATCCATCAGCCATCATTTACTAACCTCTTAGTACCTATACGGACATATGAACATGTTACATTATACACTTAATGTCAGATCCTGAGGGAAACAGTTAGTTTTGTTTTCCACAGAGTCCTGATGTTTCCCGAGACGAAGTCGAGGGAAACATCAGGACTCGAGGCAATGATGCTGCCTTGGTGTTAGGAGGCACAGGTTCGGACCACCTACACCTTCTTTTTTTAACCTCTACAGTCTGGCGAACAGACCCTGTTGATTCAATGAGCTCGTCGATCGAAATAACATAACACAAGAATATGCGTCGACTTTTCTTTAAGAACTGATCCTGAAATGAATTTCTCCTGTATTTCTCCTTGACGTTCATTTTCCAGGTCTCGCACCCTCAGAGGACAACCGGCTTCTGTAGCGTATTGAGCAGTTTCACTTTGGTTCTCTCCGCTGGGCTGTTTCGAGCTCCAGGTGTTCCCCAAGCTTCTTAAGGCAGTTTTATCTTTACTCAGCCTGCATTCTATATCTTTAGGTGCCCCTCCTGGGTTGCTCAATTAGACTGTGTAACTCTTAAATACACGACATCCTCGACTTGAACGTTTTCGTCACTTAAAATACTCGTTGCTGCAGTTCATCTTAAGAAATCTTGTTTCCGTCTTGCCAATATAAGCCTGACTCTCTGGGCTGTCTCCGTCAGTCTGTTTTCTTCTGCATCTGATTACACGTTGTCGATAGGAGTGCTAAGTAAGACAGATCATACAAACGAAAAAAACGAAACCTACACCTCATTTCAATAGCGACTGTTGATATCTGATGTTGATTTCCGAGCTAAAATTTAATGAAATATTTTTATAGGAACGAGTCGTAGCAATTACTTTGCCGACACTCCGGTGGACGCTTAGTCGTTTGTAACAACTAGTACGTTTCAATCTTCTCTTCCTTCCAGGGTTACGACCAGACTTAGAGAACAAGATTATGAGATGTCAAACCGTGAGTAATTTCATTCTATAAAATTGTCACATGACACTTCTCTGATTAAAGCGCCTGTTATAGACTTGAAGTAGGAAAAGTTAGCCCAGTTGTCCATCTATGAACAGGCTAAGGGAAAGTTTGAGGTGTGCATTTGTCCTGATTATACCGCCAAATGCTGATACTAAATCCAAACGACACCGTCAGAAATAGTTTGTTTCGTCATTAACTTCTTGATCATCATTTATTAAAAGTAGTTGAAAGAGGACATCGACATCTACAGTTTCATTTAATACAGAATATCAGGTCTGGAAATGTAGGACGAAAACTCTCCATTCGTAATTTTTTCCCCAGCCAATCATGAACGCCCAATGTCTTTTCCACAGGTGACTGAAGAAAAGCGTTCGTCCGATAAGAATGCATCACTATATCAAAATTTATTAGCATTTTTTAAAAAAATGACTACCTTTTACATCCACCGAGAAACGCTTACACCTTAGTCTGGCGCTCTTCATTTCAACTTTTATGAATGATTTTGCACAGAGATGTCTGTAAGTTGAATTTCAATCTGAGTAATTTTTAAAGCGTGTTCGAGACCCCGGCTAAGGGGTAACATTGTTGCTAAAGCACGGTTTGATAAACGCACCAAAAGAATTTCGGAGGAGAAAATCTCAATACGTATGAAATACAACATAACTGAAGTGACTTGGACGCTATTCACGCTCGCCGTTTCGCATGAAAAAAAACCGTACTAGTTAGTTGCCCTAGGCGCGATTTTTACTAACTCCCGAGACGCGATGAGTCCGAACTCATTTTTCCGAACAGCTACTTCTAATTAAACGTATTATTGCCCTTTCTTTTTCTGTTTTTTAAGTGGACACCTTTAATGACCCATTGCTAATTTCAAATATAAAATATCACATCGATAACCCTCCTTTGCCATTATCTCCAACCGTTCACATTCAGCAAGGTTAGGAAAAACTGCCGGCATTTTTATTTTTGTAGGCGTCGGTGATCGTGACTTGAGAGCGCACAATTCAGGATGTAATGAAGAGAGTGATAATGAAGTGGAGACAAAGTCCAATGCATTCAGATTAGACGGCGGAATGGCCGTAGAAAGACTAGGCATATCAGCCCTGGGGGAACCTGAAGAATCTATGCAAGACAACTTAACCAGTCAGCCTCCGGTCCGAGAGCACGGATTAAGCCAAACTTCCGTGTAAGCCCTCTGTGCGAGATAGTTACTGAACCGACAGGCAAAGGTGAGCCTAAAGCAATTTCAGTCTAGATCCTTATACGATTTAGCAGACATTACAATAAGTAAGCTAGCTGAGTGGCACGCTATGACGACATCAATTACAATAAATCGGTACTTTTCTACCCCACACATGATAAGCAGCAACACCGTTTGTTAACCGTGTTTAAAACATAAGTCTAACTTCATTATAAAAGATCAGGTATCAGCAACCTAAGCCCTTTAAAATAGACAACTCCAAAAGTCACTGCATCATCATAACTTAAAATCCAATAACTTTCTTAGTGTAACTTTTATCAATTTTATTTTCAGCGGTAGTTAAACAGAAAGCTAAATAAGTACTGGGGCCAGGCAAAAGCCGAAAATCCAAGATGGCTGGAAGCAAACGAGTTGGCTACTGACAAGCCCAGCCGATGAAATAATTTTAGAACTACCCAAAAACAACTTCGGCTAATACTTTACTTATAAAGCAAGCTCTGTATGCCAAATGAATGAGAAACGGCTCCGAAAGTTTGAATAAGTAAGTTTCTCTTACCTAGAGTGTAGGGGTTTTACTTCTTTAACAATCCATTTTTTTGTTTACAGAAGACAAAGAGTGGAGACCAAGAAGCTCCAAAGCTGCATGGAGTTAAGGTCATGGTACAAAATGGACAGGGCAATAGGCCAATTTCAAATTATAAATAACTGCGAGGCTAAGGGGAATGAAAAAAAGAAAGAAATGTATCAGTCATTCATGAATCTCAGTGCGTTTTCTTTTGTTTTATACCCCTGATTGGAGCCAAGCATGAATATTAATACTTCGAAGGTGCTAACGTTGTACAAGATGGGAACAAAACTAACCTTATCAAAGTGAGAGTGTGATAAGAGGATTTTCAGTCATCTAGTAATCTTTTTTCACAGTCCCTTGCCTTGCAAATAAGCAAATGTATTAGGGCCGAATTTTGTCCCTACTACAGTTTGCACAAAGTGAAATGAAACGGCGAAGTAGTGAAAATAATTATCGTCAAGAAATTCGTATTGTATGTGTTTTAGTGCAGCGTTTGGCAGGTAGGTGTTCAATCAGAGTCAAATAAGTTTAATAATTTCTTGACCGGGATTTCTGTCCTTTTTTCATAGTACATATATATATAGCCTAAAAGGTCTCGAATAGTATAGTAACTTGAGTGTCAAGTCAAGTTTGATAAACTGTAACGACTTATATAACCAAAGTTGACGAAGAAAACGGGAAATTCAGCAGTTAGTATTTGATGTTTTTTTATGGCGGTTGAGCCTTATAGTCATTAGAAAGCGACAAACCCATATGGCTTTTATGAAGTTGCACTGCAGCGGGCAAGTATAAAGATGCTTATTTTGTTCAAACAATATTGAATAAACTTTAAAACGTTAAAGGACATTTCTATAAGTTGTTACGAAAAAATTGATGTTTGTTTCAGAGAGTATATCACTCAAGTGAAATGTTAGCGTAGTCACAAGTTTGGAGTTGATAATTAACGGCGTTCCAATCTGAATTGACTTAAGTTAATCATTTATTTTAATGTGTAGGTTCGGACACGAAGAAAATGACAAACACTGTTCTTCTTTTCCACGACTTATTGCAATGGAATGTGTCTTATAGCCTTTTGGCAGCTTAACTGTATACACATTAATTTGTATTAGTCTGTTATTAACTTTTGCTAATCAATAAAATCTTGAAACACACTCCCTGTACTAGCCTATATAAATAATATACCTTGGTTAACTTGGAAAAAACTGCACTATCATTCTACGAGTTCAGCTTTACATTCTATGAAATGTAGGTTACTTGGCCCACTAAACAGGAGGATAAAGTTTATTTATTTTTTGCTAATTTGAAGTGGAACAGCAAATCTACCAGACTTGACCAAAGGGCCCCCCTTCATTACAACACTAAGTAAAATATTGTCTGCTAATCCAAATTGATGAGATACAATTACTACTACCGTTCTTCACTAATACCTTTTGCCTCAAACGTACATAGGTACACACATGCACTATTTCAGGAAACTGCTACAGTTAGTAAAATGTTTCAAAATCAAATTTCTTAAAACGTTCTCAGACATATCTATATTTACATTTTTTTTAATGATATATTTCAATAACTGGAGCTTTCAATCACAATTCAAGCTAAATATTTATGAAATAGAAATTAATCCTCAGTTACAATAAATGAGATATAAACAAAAAATCTTTGCCTCAGCTCCCAACAGCATCTCCTAAATTCTCCGTTTCTATTGTTTTCTTAAATGAGCTCCTTAAGGTTAAGTTTTGAAATTTGGGCAATGCTTAAATTTTATACCTCTTTATGATCTATCCACCCCTGCAAGGCAGACACCCACCTAAGGACTTGCTGTTTATCTGGGGGAGGGTTGTTGACCTCCAGTCCACAGACTATGACAGTGGACTAGGACTGTTAAAAGGACTTAACCTAGACGGAAATAATTTTCTCGGTAAAAGTTTTTGATTTTGTTTTAATTCTTTTTTTTTGGGGGGGGGGGTGGGGAGGAAGGGAGGGAACAAAAGACAACGTCTGCTTCCATTAATGTGAAAGTTAAACAAAAATATTAGATCTTCCTTTACAAGAAGAGGGGGACATGTCACTAGTTCATAAACAAACGTTTTGCGTTTTACGAGTCATGAAAAAAATAGTGTATTTGATCTCGGCCACATGTTTGGGCGATCACTGTGTGGCTATAAATTCCATAGGGAAGCCAGCGGTAGGTGGGTCCGAG